GATCCAAACACCCCTTCGAAAAATAACGCAGCAGTAAGTTCTCCACTGCGCTTAATGTCCTCAAGCGGTATCACACAGAAGTAGGCAATGTTTATGAGTAGATATAAGAGTACAGCAGACACAAGAGCCGCGGGGCCCACGACCTTCAATGTCCGTATGGGGTCTTTCACCTCGCTTAGAACAGTATTGACATTATTCAATCCCGCATAGGAGTAACTGACTTTGAACATCGCAGTTGACAAAGTTAAGAGGCCCCAGTCAGAGTTTTGCCATAGGGAGCCCCAGGAATATCCTCCGTTTTGGGGAGCGGAACCGGAAGGAGTTCCTTGCGCCAAAGCGACGACATAGATACCAGTACACGCGATAACAAGAACAAGAAGAATCTTGATCCATCCAAGACTATTTTGGATCCATATCCCAGCCCTAAGAAAACAGCTGTGAATGAGAACAATGGCCGTCAACAACCCAGCAGCAAAGAGTTTCCTATTAAGGTCCGTCGCTTCAATACCCAGGGCAAACATCAAGTACTGACCAAACACAACACAGTTTCCCGTCGTGAAGGTCAGGAGAACAGCCTGGACAGCAACTAAGGTTGATGTGAGGAATCGCGGGTATAGATACGTGAATTCAAGATAGACTTTATGGCCCCCTGAGCGCGGCAACATACAACCGTACTCTAACCAGACAGCCAGATTCGCCGCTGAAATAGCGGCTCCAACCATCCATACACAGAGTGATAGGCCAATACTGCCAACAGACTTAGTAATGATGCCGGGCGTTGCAAAGATCCCTGTGCCAAAGATCCGGGAAATCACAATGATATATGCGCTGGTCCGAGAAAGCGTCCTGGCCCTATAGGCTGCTTTGTTGCGGGGGACGTCATTGTCCAAGCTTTGTTGATGGTCGCCTTGCTGCGGTAGTAGACCCCCATACTGAAGTTCTCACTTTCTGATGCGTTGGTAGGAAGAAGGGGACGCTGAAGAGGGTCGATAGTGTTTTTCATGCTAGGTTACAAGAGTCCTACTTTCAATCTCCCTCTGACAGCACGGAGGGAATATAACAACAAGAGAGTAGACGAGCAAGATATTTCAGGAGAATGAGGTCGGAGTTGGATTTAATTAGGGCTAATTTGCCCAAACGAGAAGCGGGTAAATCCACGTGACATCCCACTTGGCCCCTCACTTGTCCTTAACTTACAGGTTATTCATGAGGAATTATTTTCTTCTCGACTGGGTGGGTGTTGAGAGTCATAGAAGAGCATTTATTCTGTATTGTTCTTCAACCTGATAAGGATACTTAACTTTGGCAAACGATGGCCGTCTAAGTACTCTACAAGGGTGTTTACCCAGCAGGCAAATTTAACGGAAACCTGTTGTCTATATAAGCGCCTACGGCTAACAAGCGCATCCAAGGAAGCCAGGAAGCCATGAACTTTGGCGTTTTCCCTCAAATATAAATAGAGCAGAGTCAACTGGCATATGCTGTGTGATGATGCCAAATTGCCAGAATTGTCACTGTAACAAAGTAACCTATGAAAAAGTCTCAGAAACGAAGATCTCGGTCCGGCTGTACTGAGTGCCGACGCCGTCACCGCAAATGTGACGAAACCCGACCCAGCTGCTCAAGCTGTAGAATAACAGGCAGAGAATGCTCCTACGAGGTCCGGCTGTCATGGGGTGGACGGCCATTCCGCAAATCTCGATTTGGAGATTGCCTAAGCCAGGACCCCAGCTTGACTCGGGTGCCTGTTTCGACCTCATCTGGTACGAGCAGTGTTCCTGACATACTCACATTTTAAGTGACGGCTAACCCATTTGTTTAGACTTCAGCGGGAGAGCTTTTGTGTACGGATCTGGATGTGAATCATCAGGGCAATTATCTCATCCGAAGGCGACTATTCTCACTCATTCCGGTATGATCAATCCCAATCCCGAGCAACACCTCTGGAACTTCGCGGATATTTATGTCAAGCAGATGAGGAGGGAGGCACGCAAACTAACTAGATATTGACTCAGAAACCACAGCAGGGAACCAAATTATTAGGAACCCTGATCTATTGAGCTGGCTTCACCCAACTTATCGGTCCCTATTAGACCATTTTATATCCTCCACCACCAGGGCTCTTTCCTGCCATAAGGTGGTACAGCAGGACTTCTGCGCTGTTTTGGTTCCAATGGCACTCCAGACGCCCTATCTATTGGTAGCGCTCCTTAGCCTAGCAGCAACGCATCGCGTGTCTCTAGGCATTGAACAAAACCTAACTGAATTGGACCTCCTCAGCACCACCAGCCTGAACCAACTGCAGAATGTACTTTCTCAGCCTAACTTCCATCTAGACGACGCAACGATAGCAACAACTTTGACCCTTTGCTTCACAGAGATAGTCTCCGATGGGAGGAGTCCTGGATCGTGGAGGCTCCATCTGCAGGGTGCAGCGGCAATGATATCAGAGCACCTAAAGACAGTGAAGGTCCCTTTGGATTCTCTGCCATCTGCCACCTCACTGCTCTGGCGCTGGTACTTCTCCATGGAAACGGTATCATTACTCTGTGGAAATCTGTCAGTCCCTCCTAGCTCCCGAGCAGGGTTGTTAATTCAAGACATCTTCGAGCATGATGAAATTGATGACCTGGCCGGCTTCCCGTCGTCTCTGGTTCCCATTTTCAAGAACATAAACCGGTTGACAATGGAGTCAGGATACACCCAAAATCAGCCTGGAAACATAAATGCGACCAGCACCACGCAACCCTCACAACCCAGCAACTCCATAATCGACCGATGTCACCAAATCATCAACGAGATCAACATAATGCTCTTGACCGCAAAAGTGCCTCGATTCCGTCCCAACGTTGACAGCACGCTCACATCTGTACATCGTAGTGACTTTACTGCTCTGGACGAAACATACCACCACGCCGCTCTTCTGCAGCTCTATCGGCGTGTTCTTAACCTCCCATCATCAAACCTCCTGGTGCAGAGTTCCGTCGGCCAGATAATCCGCCGCATTTCGTCCATGCACTTTCTCGATGAGGCGTGTCCGGGTGTAGCTGTTCTGCAGCCGCTGTTTAGCGCGGGTTGCGAGGCATACCAGGAGGCTGACAGAGAGAACATACGCATCCTTCTCTGTCGAATGGGGTTACGCTATGGCATGGGAAATGTGCGGAGTGCGCTTGGTTTTCTTGAGGATCTCTGGTATATGCGAGATGCAAACTCCGATTCGGAGGGGAGAGTGAGGTGGGATAAAGTCATGGGTATGGTCACCTCGTATTTTTCATTTTTATCTTTATTTTTATTTGATTTTATACATTATTGAATATAAAAATTCCGTTTTGCGGCCGCTCTTTACTGACTTAGTTGTATTATTAGTGGAAAAAGGGCTAGATTTACTAGCATACTAAGTCGACCGAACCATGAACGCCCTACAGGTATCTGGGGAACATCCTATAGAACGAGCAGGCAAGGGTACTACGCACACACCGGGTCTACACGCTCCACCGTTCCAAGTTAAACCTGTAATATGAGCTTCTCACATTCAATTCGAGCAATTTACCTCTCGTCAGCAGCCCCCAGTCCATTCTGCCAGGTCTGGAACGTGCTATCCATGCCAAAACAAGCATTCTGCAGCTTGTCAACTTGCGCAATCATAAACTACATGGGGCATGTGCCATTTGCGGGAAGCCCCTCATAGAAGTTCCTAATGCAAGAAATGTTCGTTGGCTTCCCCTGCTCAGCAAACGGAGCCCTAGAGAGAGGCCCAGTGCTACCACGGGATTTCTTATTCGTCCACGTGGATAACGCCCGGCGAGACGGCAGGCAGAATATGAGAAGCTCAGGATGTGATTGATAGATGCATTCGTTTGCATACGTTCTTTCATATTTATTTACGGTGATATTAAATTTCAGGTTGTTTGTAGTTTGCGGTGCGTATGTATGGTTGAAGGCGGGGCTGCTGGTGGCGATTGGCGGGAAGAAGTGAGGCCGGCGAGGGAAGCTACTGATTACAACTACTATCAGCGGGATAACTTAGCGACGTCGCCCACCACCAAAGCTACCGAAATGCAGGGTCCTGAGCAGTGCAACTCAACCGCTTAGATGCTAGTTGGGGAGTTGGGCTGCTGAAAGTATAGCTAGGCGTGCATTTTCTTTTGCGGTGATAGTTATCGAAAACCAGGCAAAGTATGAGGATATTACAGAAGGGCAATTTAGATTATTCAGGATCACTGCCGGCCGGGCATTTTCCCTCAATTTTCCGTTAGTTACCAGGATTATTCCACTACCTGAATTAGTATCTAGCTAGTATTGCAGTGTTTAGCGGCTTTTGCCCAGCTGCAGCAAGTCAAGCTTTATGGACGTTGGGTTGAATTATGGCAGGGCTGGAGAATGCAGCGACAGAAGGTTTCAAAATCTCATCGTCAATCAAGCTTCCATTGTGTTCAGGGGTAGGAGTCGCTTCGGATGCTAAAAAAAATAAATAAATAAATAAATAAATAAAAATAAAAATAGATGTACGGAATACCAAAGTATGTCCGTACTTACATGATACAGACTCAAGTCCTCAAGAAGCAAATTGCGCCGGATTGCTCCCTCTCATGATGCTCGTCCAGTTCTAAAACAATCCCAGATCCAGTTCCAATTCCATCCATGCACGCGGGAGATCTCTCGTCTATCTAGGTATATAAACGCTAGGGGTAGTTAAATATGCCAGAACCAAATTTCTATAGAAAGAGCCGGAGAAAAAAAGCCAAGCCAAAAAAAAAAAAAAAAGCTGAGAGATGAAATCCCCAACAGACTTACATTGCTGCCAGCCTCGTGGAACAAAAAGGGTTTCATCCCGTTAACGGTTAATGACCGAAACTGAAACAACACGCTAAGTAGTAGGAAGTAAAATCAGAACAAAGAGGGACACTAGAATGAATCATAGGTAACGATCACTAGGTTGAAGCGCAAGCTAAAAAAAGGCTTTGCAGCTTCATTAGGGCCGGCCGATGCTGTTATTGAAGTTACAAGTCCGCACGGCTGATGAACTCAAAATCATCATCAGCCAGATATCCGTCGCCATGGCTGTTTGAAGTTTCCTCGATGGCAACAAACTCGTATTCACGAGCCAGGTTCTCGGTCTCCTTCTTTTCGAACTTCTTCACGGCATTTGCCAGGGCAGCGCTGAGGATATCCGTGCCCTGACTGGGGCCTGTGGGTGCGTCGAAGGAGTAGAAGATGTTTGGGTCATTCACAGCTTCGGAATGATCAGGTGCGTGGTCGGAGTCCGTAGAGGAGTCTGAGATGTTGTGGTCGTCGTAAAGCACTTGGTCGACGATGTAGCTGAAATGGGCCCGTTGAGCGGCGAAGCTTTTGTTAATGTCGGATTGGTTAAGGTGCCGACGGGACTTGCAAGCCCTGCGAGTGAAATTTGTTAGCCAAGGGGCTACATATACAGAAAAAGGAGAGGAGATGAGCCTGGCTTACCTGCTACCCTGAGATAGCATAGGGCGAATACGGGTATAAGCAGGATTCTCAATCTTCTGGCCTAGTGGAGTGAAATTGGGGTCGCGGGAGCCCAGAGCCCATTTTTCGTTATGATCACGAACCCGTTTGGACTCAGTAGCAGCACGGCGAAGATCAGACTCTGGTAGAGAGAAGATTTGAGTAGTCATGTTGAGGTCTGGTGACGGTGTTTTTCGATGAAGATTGTAGTAGCTAGTATGAAGTGGATAGACGAAACGAGAGACAAGGTAGAGGATATGCTCCAGTATAAGCAGAGGATATCAGAGTCACCCGGTGCTTACGAGAAGGTATATCTATATAATAGCCTTGAATATGTTGATAGGCGGACAAGATGCTGTAGGAAGCGGGTATCTGGGGACAGTATATAGTTATTATAGCAGAAGGTGCTAGTTAGGGGGAGGTCTCAGTTAACAGCTGTTAGGTGATGACAAAAGAGCGTTGGTTCAGTAACAGGAGCAATAGCAACCGTTGTATGTGGTAGTAGAATGAAGCTGATAGAATGAAGTTGGTGATATCAAGAATAAGGGAATATAAAAAGAAGAAGAAGACGACGAAGCGCAGATTATGGGTTATATAGAAGCTGTTGTTCATGTCATTCATTGCCTTGGATCTATAAATACAATACATAGGTACAGGGAAACTTACAGAAGGTTCAACCCGCCTGACAGAAGCTATCCTATTCGGGCCTAGCGTGTGGCTGGTAGTGGCGGTGGTGGGGATTTCTATTCCTAATAACGTACGGAGTAAGTTACTCCGTAACTTATACATGTAATGTACATACATATATATACATCGGTAACTACCTTGGCCGCGACTGGATGCGTCAATACAATACTGCAAGCTACAAACTAGGTTCGTAATAATAATAATAATATATTAATAGTTATCACGACATTTCATTGTGATCTGTTGTCTTGGACTGAATAACATAGAATACTCAGGGTTGATTGAAACCTTGGAATACTTCCAAGCGTGATTTTTCTTGCGACATCATCTTCCCGAATGACTCAAACTGGTTCTACGGCTAGGCTCTCGACTATGAGACTTCCCCCCATTTGGTCCCCGCTGCTGCGGGCCTTCGTTGAGTCTAACGCCGGGCAAGCGAACCGTGCAATCTCTCGCAATAATAATAATACATCGGGATCTTCCCCGCCAAACAAGAGGCATGGCGCTAAAAAGCCGTGATCGCAACTGATGACTCCAGGTTGCAAACTTCCAGGGCCAGGCGTCGATGGTTCGCGCGTGTTCCAGTCATTCGCCAGCAATCATCCATCTTCTCTTCGCCAGAGTTACGTAGCCAGCCAATCGCCGAGGAGAGCAACACAGTCAAGCATCCCATTTCACAGACAGGAATTCCATTCCTACATCCATATCTCCTCATAATAACGTGACTCACAACCCTATGTTGTCACACTGCGCGGGCAAATCATCTTGGCTGTGCTTGACTCTCGATAATTATTAAAAAAAAAAAAAAAAAAAAGTTTGACACCACCCGTCGGATTTTGTCTCCTGAGTTGTGTTTTCCAGAACATTTTTAGAATGGATCTTTATTGAACCGACTTGTAGTTGTTATCTTGATATCAAACCGGGGTGGTATAAAGGAAAGCTACGTAATTTAGATATTTACAACAAAGGTAGTTAATGTAACATAATGATGACCGCTCTTCTTAACGTGGACCTTTTTTTTTTTTTTTTTTTTTTGTTTCCTTATAAACTCTCAGAAGGCAAGGGTGGAGGGTTCATGCTCTTCTTAGGCAATCGGCCTTCCACCCCGTCTGAGACAACGCTGGTAACTTAATTAGTGTAGAACCCCGTTAATCCCCCTCTGGTACGATGTTCAAGCGTAAGTTATTTCGTCCATCTTGGAAGCGTTAGGCCTCCAAGCCTTAGAGCCCGTCCTTGATGACTCTCTGATTTCCCGTCATGTCAACGCACGTCATCTCTCAATTTCCTCCGCTTCCGCATCGGATGCGTCACTGACCTCCTCCCGCGGTAAGCGATCCGGGAACCATCCAAACCGTCCCAGCTCAACAGAATACTCGCCCATGCTGTTCACATGCACGTCCACCCCTTCCTCCCCAAGTGCGGCCGCCTGTCTCGCGGCAGAACCGGGGCCACTTTACCCTAGATTTTAGTATGCAAGATAGAGATATAACAAGTATAATGATCAATGGAAAGGAAACTGTGAATGCATACCGATGAGGTATTATTCCCTTGGCGTTTAGCACACGCTGCCACGGTACGTTCTGGTCGTGGTAGAAGTGGTCTGTCCCCGGGCTGTTGGACGGGAGATATTTGAGGCACATGCCTACCTGGCGCGACCGTTGAGCTAAATAGAGAAGGCTGTCATGTCAGTATAACGTAGATATTTAACTAGTAAGTTAATCCTTTCTATCACAACGTTCTATCTGTAGCTGGACACATCTTCTGCTAAATATCGCAAGAATAGAAATCACCAACACTCGTTATAACAAAATTACATATGACTGAATCTAAAATAGGCGGTGGGAAAAGTAGGGGGAAATGAATGAAAGCTCACGCTGCCCGAGGAGCCATGCGATATGGCCGTACGAGCTCACTTTACCACGGGGAATCTGCTGTACAGCATCATAAACGGCATTGTACCACCACTCCGCCTCATCGGAGCGAGCCATGACGGGGAATTCCAATTCGTAGAGTGTGTTATGTTTGATAAGCCTCCATTCAAGCACAGGAAATAAACCCGCCTTACAAACAAGTTGATATCATCTCGTATTCGTATCTTGTGAGTTATCGGATAATTGATGTTCCGTGTCCTGAAGCTCTTACATAGATTGCTGTGAACGGGGACAAACCAAGCGTACAACTAAACCACAAGAATACTCACATCCACGCTCGCAATGTCCCTAGCCGCCTACCTAGCTAAAAACTACCTCACTGCAGACACACCCTCAACCTCTGACCGCCCCAAAAAGAAGCGAAAGAAAAATAAACACGCCGACCGGGACACCGAATCGGGTGGCTTGATAATCGCAGACGACGACCCACCAGACCTCCGCAGCTCATCTATAAAGTCCAGGAGCCATGGATACGGGCGCGGCAGCGGTGATGATGATGGTGGTGATGATGACTCCCCATACACAATAGCCAGTGCGGGTCATTCGGCCGAATTCCGCAAATCGAAAAAATCCAGCTGGAAGACGGTAGGCGGGCCTGCAGCGCCGTCAAATGCCGAGCAGGCGGCGGCAGACGCCATTCTTGCCTCAGCTGCCGCGGAGCAAGCTGCTCATGCACAAGAGAGCGAAGATAAGCCTGTTATTGCCGATGCGGAACACGATGGCGAGCTACGAATGGAGTCCGGTGCGCGGGCGGGTTTACAGACAGCTGAAGAGACGGAGGCCATGGTAGCTGCCCAACAGCGGAAACGGGAGCGGGAATCTCTTGCGATGAAGAAGAAATCCGGCAAGACGGGCGGGAATGGTAACGGACTAGAGTCCGAGACCATCTACCGCGACGCGAGCGGGCGGATAATCAACGTGGCGATGAAGAGGGCAGAGGCACGGCGGGCGGCGGAGGAAGCGGCGGCAGCCGAAGCGGCGGCCAAAGAGGCGTTGAAGGGCGACGTGCAGCGGCGTGAGAGGGAGGCGCGGAGGGAGGCGGTGCGGGAGGCCAAATATATGCCATTGGCAAGGACAGTCGAGGATGAAGAGATGAATGCGGAGCTGAAGGCTAGGGTGAGATGGAATGACCCCGCTGCGGAGTTTTTGACTTCGATCAAAGGCGCTGGCTCAGTTGGTGCTGGTGTCAGTGTTGGTAGGGGGAAGAGTGGGAGGAAGGTATATACAGGGCCCGCTGCGCCGAATCGGTATGGGATACGGCCCGGACATAGGTGGGACGGGGTAGACCGGGGGAATGGATTTGAGCAACAATGGTTTGAAGCGCGGAATAAGATAAAGATGCGGGAAGGCTTAGAGTATGCTTGGACGATGGACGAGTAGGGGGTTGGGTTGTGCTTTTTTTTTTTTTTTTTTTTTTTTTTTTTTTTTGGAGGTCTCTCTTCTTCAATTTCCTTGTACCAGGTTTTAATTAATTGCGAAGCTGGTCTCGTGGGAACATTAGGGCAGGAATTTGATGATTTACGGGTTAGTTATTAGATATACCCATTTCTTGAAACGTACGGAGTTATCATAAAGGAAACCACTTTCTCACTCCCAAGACCTAGAGCAGCAGACGCTGCAAACTTGCCATGAAGTGTAGCTCAGCAAGACCAGTTAACTAAGCCCATTCATTGGACATGACGTAATATGGCATGAATATATATTTACACCAGTACACATTATTAATTCCACCAGATCCGGCCTCCTAATATACGATAATGTGATTATAAAGTGGTATAAATAATCTCTAACAAAACTCCCTCAACACCCTGCTAACTATCCAAAATGTAACGATGCCTAGATGGAAATGGTAAGGCTCTGTCATTAAAGAGAACAGCCTAGCACACTAAGGAGTAGGTGCTTGAACAGCAGGGGGGGGAGGCGGGACAGAAGGTCGGTCAGAACACAATTACAATCCGAACTGGTGAGGGTAGCGAAAAAGGAGGACAAGAAGAGGAAAACAATGGGTAACTATATATAGGAAGCGAAGAGATTGGGCCAGTAAGAAGGATAAAACCTAACCATATGTTCAAGTCTCTCGCTAATCCTACCCACCACCTACCTACCTACATACTGACATATGTCTATATATATATATTAGGCAAATGGGTTGTGGGGGCTAGGCAATGAATAGGTATTGGGTGGAGTGTGAAGAAACGTATGGAGATAAGTGTGTATAGGAAGGAGACTCTACTCCGCTCCCTGCTTCCTTCATCCCTTTCTCCTCTCTTCCCCTCAAAAAGATATCCTCTAAACTCTCTCCACAAGTCACATACGTACATGCACAACAACAAATGGCGTCTATCATTCTATCAATCGATGAAAATCCATCACTCAAAATCATTCCACCAATCCTTTTCATCCACCAGTCAGCCAGTTGGCAGCGTGTTCATGTCATGTCATGACAGACAGCCACTCAAAATGATACTGCAATTCGGAAGATTCAAGATGTTTCTAAAAAATGAAATCAGAACAGCTAAAACCAAGGGGTAATAAATGATAGAAACTAATAGAGAGTGATGGGGAGAGCAAGTCAACTATATAATAGTTGGTTAAAGGATGGCGGATGACAGGCTGCTGAGACTGGGAAAAAAGGGGGGAAAAGGGAGGGGGAAAATGTGAGATGATGTGCAGAATATGGTATGATGTGGCGAAAGATTCGTAGAAGGAAAAGGGGAGACCTAACAACCACAACCAGCAACCAAAGAGATAGTAGAGCAATCAAAAGTGGACGACGATCATTCCAAAAACAAAAAACCTTTGTGAAAAAGGAAGTGGGCAGGTGAGAAAAAATTAAAAAAAAAAGGGGGGCGAAGGAGGCGAATATCAGACCACGACAATCCATAAACAAACTTGGCTGGGAAAATGAAAAATAAATATAAGACCAAGGCCAAGGCCAAAAAAACGAACCAAGGGAAACAAGATATGTAACACATACAAATGAACCGCTAAAAGGCTGCTGGGCGGGCTGCGGGGGAATCATGGCATATTAGATTTTTCCAACTCTTTTGTCTCATTTAAATTTCCGCTCCAGTATCATTTAGTTCCTCCCGCCCCCCGTCCTGCCGCTCAATATATATTCGTTCCTATAATTTCTTTTTTCACATGTCATGTCACTCATCCATATTGAAATTAATATTTTCATACCACGTTATGCTTTTTCCTTTTAACCACTTGTGCCCAGCCTTCTATGAACTCCCCACGACTCCCGACATTGATGTCTTTTAGATGTACATTCTCCATCCCCTTCGTACCATCCAGATACGGATGGTTCGACATACATCCCGCATTTTTTCTGCGCTCAGGCAACAGCTCAAGCATCGGCAGGAGGAAGTCGGAAAGAGCTTTGCTCTCCTCCAGGGACAAGCGGTATTTCTCTGTGAGGACGTCCGGGAGCGCCCAGTGGCGGAGTCGGTGGATTTTAAGCAATTGGCCCTTGCGGTTAAAGATATTCTTACTCCGTTCACCGGAGAAGCAGAGGGATTTGGGCAAAGGCCCGAGAAGTTCAATTATTTGGGCTATGTGATCGTCATCCTTATCGTATTTGGCAGCTGATTGCGGATCGAAGAGGTAGTCGCCCGTGATGAGTTCGAATACCTTTTGGGCTGTTAGCAAACGGGAAAAATTCATAGACATATACATATATATATATATATTGAAGCGTTGTTGACGTACCATTGCCGCCATACTCCATATGTCGGTACTGGCACCCCATTTGGCGCCAAGTATAACCTCCGGCGAGCGGTATTGTCTCGTCTGGATGTCGTCCGTGAAGTGATGTTCGACCCAGCATGCATTCCCCAGATCCGCAATCTTCACTGAGATCTCCATGTCTTCGTCATTTGGAGTCTTCGGTGTAGAGTTCTTATCAAGGGATATACCCGAGACCTCCCGTTCCAAAATGTCTCTGAAAACATCGTTAGGACAAAACTGCGCACGGCAACGACCCAAAAAAACTTACGTTGTCTTTTCCCTCTGCTTCTGCTTTCCATCCTCCAGCGACTCCTGATCTTTAATCCCCAGTCGATCTTTCATGGAGAGATTGGATGTGCTTGGTGAAGCTACACAAGAGAGGAACAGTTAACTAGCGCACATCAAACTTAAAAAAAGATAGTAAGTTATAGGCTGACCTGATGTATTATTTAAAATATGGTCGAGGCTGCCATGAGTGCTTTGATTCGTGGCGTGGGTGCGGAAAGGGTCGCAACCGCTGAAGCTGGCATTGAGCGGGCTTGGAAGCGGTTGGCTACCGGTGATCAAGGTTCTTCGTCGTCGTCGTCCACTGCGATAATCCTCCTTGTTTTCCTTCTTAGACTCTTCCTCCTTCACAAAAGATTTCACAATCTGCTCGACGTCGCCAATCTCGATCAGAACATTCTCTGGCTTCAGATCGGTGTGGATAATGCCACACTCGCGATGCAGGTAATCCAAGCCTAGCAGGACCTGCTTCGTAATCTGCTTGACCAGGGGCATGGGGATGCCGCGATGATTCCAGCGCCTAATCAACCCGAGCAGATTTTCGCCCAACACCTCAAACACCATACAAACATGGTCGCCATTGGGTCCATAATGTACAAAGTCATCCAAAAGGCTAACGACGTGCCTCCGCCCAGGGTGGCTCGGGTTAGCCTCTGCGATTTTCTTAAGAAGTTTGATTTCATCATTAGCCGTTTCGGAGTAGTGTTTAGCCGATCGCACGACTTTCAAGGCAACGTGTCTCTCATTTGTAGTATCGCGCGACAGCCAAACGGTCGAGAAATGGCCCCATCCTAGCTTGCGGAGGACGATGTAGCGACCTTCGTTATAGGTTTCGCCGGGATAGACGGGATGATAGCCACCCTCGCAGTAGTCCTTTAAGTCTTCTTCTTCGGGGTCTTCAGTAGAGGAGGAGGAAGGGGAGAGGGAGAGGGGGGAGCCGTAGTTAGTTTTAAGTGTATGGGTATTGATAGAAGCCCTGCATGGAGTGTATTTTTAGTTTAGATACATACGCATATAAAAATTGATGGTAGATAAAATATAGACGCAGAGATAAGTATAGATATAGAATGATATACTAACCCTGGATGTTTAGATGCCGGCGAGAGCATGGTGGGGCCAGAAATGGGCTCAACGATCACAGAAGATGGAACCGCCTCGTTTGTGACAATGGGCCAAAGGTCAGTGCCCTTCCTCCGCTTCTTGAGAGAGTTATTCCCGCCGTTCCCGCTGTTTCCGCCGTTCCCGTTGGCGGTGTTGTTCAAGTTGGCCGCTGCGCTGGCCATCTGGTTTGCCCTGTTAATTGCAGCGTCCTTGATATCACCTCCAGCCGTCGTCTATTCTGGGGGGGGGGGGAAAGCCTGGTGAAGCCAGGTTGAGAGCCGCGGTGCGAGGAATCTCAGCTATTTCCCGTGTCTACCGGTGGCGGTTAAGAAAGAAGTGTGCGAAGTATGAGGGGAATATTTGGAAGCGTTTGCCCAGAGCAGAGTGGCTGGTGATCGGCGATAGGTGATAGCCTATAGGTGAGTGACGAGAGGTGTGTGGTGGGCTGGCGGCGGGTCTGTAGGGCGGCCTAACGGGCAAAATGCCACTCTACGGGAGGGAAAAACACCGAGAAGATGCCCACGGAACGAAGGCAACAGCTGGACTCGCGCCAGGCCAGAGGAGCAGTAATGAAATGATTATAACGCGGCGTCAGGATATGCAGATGATCGAGCTGGCGAAAGGGGAGAGAAAGAGGGAGTTGGTGCTGCGGATGATGGAAGACGGCGAAGATGAAGCGATGAGGTTGGCTTGGGGTTGACTTGGGGTCGGGGGGAGGTTGGCAGGAGACAGAACAAACAGCCAATGACGCCCGGTAACCACCACGTTCCAGCCAGCTCTATTATCCACAGCTCAGCGGGAAGATGGGGGGTGGCGAGGAATAAAATAGAATAAAAAAAATGTTATTTAATCACTTCAATATGAGTGAGGCATAAAAACCAGGAGAGTGGAAAGGAATTTTGAGTGAGGGTTGAGGCATTGGATTCTTTCTTGGGCGTGTAGTTAAAGTAAAAAAAGAAACGAGAAAAATAAGAGAAAAATAAAGTAAAAATAAAAAATCATGACAAACAACCAGGGTTGAAGCAATGATGTAGCCAAGGACAGTGGGCAGAGTACTCTGTACCTCAGCTGTGCACAGAGCGGTGCGGGGAGCGGGGGGTACCTGGTACCTTGTTCCAAGCATCCGAGGGACAAGGTTTAAAACATTAACAACCATCAGTTATATAAGAGGAGCTTAGAATGACCATCATGTGGATATTGCGATTTAAAACATATATAACGGTGATTAGCAGTTTATATATTTCTTTTGTTACCTCCAAGGTACATACATGTACATACTACGTTTCGTGATGCAACCACAGACACCACACGCTCTGGAATAAAGTGCAGCAGGCTATTCTCCACGATGCCCTCGACAGCCAAAGCGATTGGCCGCTGCTCGGGTGTCAGGCTCTCTACAGGGCGGATTGTCCAGCTAGACGGGCTATCCTATTGAACCAGGTGTCTTCCTCCCAGCCAAAACCCGCTTTGCTTTGTTAGGGGCATTCGGCTGCAACCCCTCCATGTCCTTCCTGTGCTCTTCGTCGCTGACCAAAACATAATAGGACTGGACTGGTCAGCAGTAACAACCTTCTACTGCTTTCACATAAAAGGGTTTGGTGCTCATATTATATATCCGAGAACAAGAGCTGGAGATGGAACGAGAGTAGCCAGAGGACCGCGACTATAAATGTGAATACATATACCGCATAAGAGAAGGAAAAAACAAAAAAAGACACAGAGAATGAAGCTTCAAGGACGGAGCTTTTTGAAACGGTAGTAATGCCGTTGCTTTCATTCTCTATCCCTTTGAATTCTGCTATGGTAGCAGCCTCTTCAACTGCCATACGCAAATCTCGTAGCACCGGACAAAAGAGATACTAACTCGGTCTCAAGACACCCACCCACTGGAAGATTGACGGTTTATATCAGGCATTCTTATTGCCAGATGTAAAAATCCGGAGCTTAGAGCTTTTCCAGCAAGAAGTTCATTCCCCCTTCCACGGCCGTAGCTAGCATGGAGAGTTATGGAACGGCCGCATTGAACTAACGGAACATCTGAGAGATATGAGCCTTGCGGTATTCACCTAACTTGCGGGGGGCATCTGGCCAGGTTCCTCAGGTTCCTCAGATATATCAGGTTCATCAGGTTTATCGCTGCCCCAAGAACAACCTCTATACGGAGTACCTCTTCCCTATCAACCTAGGAACACTTGGGGGTGTTGAGAGGGGTGCCAAATAAATAACGCATCCCCGCAAGGAGAATTGGCGGGATGCCCGCAATCTAATTCCTTCTGTTGCTGTGGCCGCCCGTGGCAGCCCCTAATTAAACGTTGACTCGGTTGCCTGAGTGAGTGTGTAAATATCCCTTGTATGTATGTACAGTGTATACGGAGAAATGGCTTGGCGGGAATCACCTGACACCACACCAACATCCGGACGCCAAGATTTAATTGGGCCATAGACTTATGTATTCCAACCTCCACAGACTTCTCTGTACAACCACCCACACTCGAGAGCAATCAACAATACAGTCTTTTGTGCCTTATTTGCACCATGTGTGGATATGGCAAGCGAAGTCATAGCCTTGTTGTTGTATTTCTGATTGTCCAGTCTCCTGTAGCTAAACTACCCTACCCGTGATAACAAGTCACCACCGCAGAGTCACCCTATCTCAAGACAACGTCTCCGTTGAAACGACCCAATGCAGAAGTCCCCTAACCGTCAGCTCCCCTGAATCCCCGCTTGTCCCAGAAGCACAATTTCGATACAAGATCCCATGTTCCGTGTTCCATGTCGCACAACCCGCGCGCCCGATCAGAGACATGCATGCGAAATGAGCTATTTGAAACAACATGTTCATTTATAAGCCAACCTAGCTCTTGAGAATGAGGAGGAACCGTGAAAGAACAGGTAGATAATAACCTTCATACCTAAGATACTATCTCCGCTAAGGCGGAAAAATCGGGTTCTTGTTGGAGGAGAGCGATATCCCTTGAGGAATGTCAGCCTCCCACTCTACTTCTTCTGGGGTGGAAACAAGGCTTTGACTTGGTAAACTTAACGCACCGCTGGGGTGGGGTGATACCCATAGGGATACGCTCTGCAATTTTCTTCCTGATAGCGAGTGTGCGGTTGGCCAACGTCACCTGTGAATATGCAATATCGCGGGTTACCATTTTTCAGAGAAGCGACTTCTTCTCGCGGCGTAAAGCCTGATGGGTTTCTGAGAATGCTTTCTCTATTGTTTGGATTTCTGCCATTTCTTCGGCTGTAGCATATTCCGAACCGTCAACAAGGTCTTTCTTGGCCTTTTCTATCCGGGCGAGTGCAGTCACAAGGGGCAGCATGTAACTCCAGTTGTTCAAGAGCCAGTGAGCGTGGCTTGTTTTGGCTTTATTCGTATGCCACATAATGTTCATCGCGTTGACATGCTCTTCCATTTTCCTAGCAACACTTGGAGGCATTTGGGAATCGTCGATGTTGGCTGTCCAGTCAAATTCTGGGAGGCTCACACTCCCGGTACACCATGCACTATATTGTTCTTTTTCCTGAGGGGTGAACGATGCTAACTTCACCGGATCTCTCTCCTGGTACCGCGCTCCTTCAAACCCAGTTGCAACTGCGATGCTTTTGCCCTCGTTGACAGCTTGAGCCAGACCCCAGAGTTTCTCTGCGACGATTGGTGGATAGTCCTTGTACACCGGCATTTTCAGCTTTTTTTCAGGTATAGCGGTATAGTCCACATCGCCTATTTCTGCCTTCCGGAACTGTGCCTCGAAGCTATCCATCATGGATGGTGGTTTGTTGTGACTTGGTAGTTGTCGTGCGTTGTAGTTTTTGGTTTATTGCTTGCAACTGGGGTTTTCGTAGTTTGTGTGAGCTGGAGCTGGAGCTGATGGGTTATATACCTGCTCTGATCCCAATAACACCGGACCGATTGGTACCGGCTGGGGATGGCAAAGTGAATGAGTAGGAACGGAGCTAGAAATAGGGAGTAGAAATGCAAAAGAGCATAATCTCGCATGACATTTCTCGAAGGGCGCGTTTTTGCAATGGACTTATATAGATCCAAGTATTTAGCTTATCTGGCCGCTAGTAGACACTCGTGTGTATAGAGCGAACAATACCATATTGCCGAGTTTGCCTCAAGGCCATTATTAAGCATAATATGGCTCTGGGCTTCATTTTGGAGATCGAGAGCCTCGTAAATGTGCGAGTAGAAGCCAGCTTTTGGGCTGTTGTTGCGTTATTGGTCCCCTGAATAATATTCAACCCCAGCGCGCTGCATTCACCGTCACCAACATGAATGAACAACCAACTAGCAAAACACAAACTGCGAGGGCAGCACTCACAACCCTCTATCCGAACAAACCACTCCAATCATGCCATTTCCAACGCCATAGCCGTATTCTAAATTCAAACAAAACCTTCTCAACCCCTACATATCCCCAGTAATGAGCCCCTTCGACCCCCCGCCCCTCTTAACCCGCCTCCTCTCCTCCCCGATCCTCTTCCTCCTCCGTCCACTGCACACCCTCCTCCTCAACCTCCGCCCAGCCCCGCGCACCCGAACGCCCTCCCAACGCCCTATCCGCGTCGTCTGTATCTCCGATACCCACGATCACCACCTACTGGGCGTGCCGGACGGGGACCTGCTGATCCATGCGGGGGATCTGACGAATAGCGGGGCGCGCGCGGATATTCAGGCGGCGGTGGATTGGTTGAAGACGCTGCCGCATACGGAGAAGGTGGTTGTGGCGGGGAATCATGACGGGTGGTTGGATGAGGAGGTTCGGGGGATTATTGTGGCTTGTAATGCGGAGGACGGGGATGGACAAGGCATAGATTGGGGCTCAATACATTATCTACAAAACAGCAGCGTGACGCTGACTTTTCCTTTTCCTACACCCACTTCCACCGCCCACGACACAGCTGGCAAATCCACAACCATTAGCCCCTCATCGCGAACGCTGACAATACACGGTGCCCCGCAAATCCCACAGCTGGACCCTTCACCGGATTCAATACACGCCTTCCAATACCCTCCCACGACGACGACGACGACGACGACACCCGGGGACGGCCACGGCACGACATATCCATATCCAATCCCCATCCCCCCGGACACCGACATCCTAGTCACCCACACGCCCCCGGCCCACCACCTCGACAATTTCCCTTACTCTGCCGGCTGCCCCCATCTCCTTCGCGCAGCCTGGCGCATCCGCCCGCTCCTACATGTCTTTGGACACGTCCACGTCGGCCGCGGCGTGGAGAGGGCGTATTATGACCGTGCGCAGGACGCGTGGGAGGCGTTGTGCAGGGCGCGGGCGGAGAACGGGGCGTTGTGGGAGCGTGGAAGCGGAATTTGGAGCTTTGTGGCGGGCGGCGGGTGGTGGAGGGATCTGTGTGGGGTAGATGGGGTGTGGGGTATGGCGGGGAGGGTTGTTTGGGAGGGTGTTAAAGCTGTGGTTGTGGGAAGGTTGTGGGATAGTATGGGTTTGGGGAGGGAGGGATGGATGGTTAATGCGGCTTGTTTGGATGGAAGTGGGAAGGTCTTGCGGGGGCCGACTGTGGTTGAGATATAGGGGGGTCATATTATTATATATGTTATTTTGGAGGAATTGGGGCGCTGCGGGGAAACATCTGAGCTTGAAGAGCTCCGAACAAACTACATATATATGTATATATGCGAAGAACAAAAATCAAAAATACTCTATGAATGAATATAATTCTATAGGCACAAGATGTGCTCCGCCAAAAAAAAAAAAAAAAGAAAAAAAGAAAAAAGAGTATGTGCAGATATGTACAGTACATACAACACGCGAATGAAAAATGTATATGCAGCGAAGATATAAAACTAAAAATCTAACCCCAGCATCATGATATCCCAGACCGAATTTATTTAGAAGCCAGGGAAGAAAAAAGAAATCACAGCTTCGACTTCCCCGCCGGTGCTGGCGATCTATCCACCGGCAACGAGAGCGGATCATAAACCCCCATCCCCAGCGAATCCACCGGATTCGGCACAGTCCTCACCGCCAGGCCCCTCGTATCCACCAAATCTGGACACAACTGATCAATACTCGAACACCCGATCAAGCGCATATTCATAACCATCTCATCCTTCAGCAACTGCATAGCCCGCTCGACGCCCGGCACGCCATACGCACCCATAGCATACAGGAACGGCCGTCCAATGCCGACCCCCTTCGCGCCTAGACAGAGCGCTTTAAGGATATCCGTCGCCCGCCGCACCCCGCCGTCAATATACACCTCGATGCGATCCTGCCACCCGCGCTTGCGCAGCTCCGGCATAACCTCTGCCAGCAGCTCGATGGCCGACGGCGCAAAATCCAACTGCCGCCCACCATGATTCGATAGCACAACGGCGGGGATCCCCATCTCCACCGCGCGCAGCACGTCGTCGACCCGCTGCACGCCCTTGAGCACGATGGGCATGTCTGTGATGGACTGGAACCACGGGATATCCTTCCAGCTGAGCGACGGGTCGATGAAGGAGGAGATTGCGCGGGCAGCACCCTGCGAGCGGTCGATGGAGGATGTCGATTCCCCATCTGCGGCCTGCACCGCGGACCCGCGGTCGGAGAACTTGGAGCGCATGTCCTTCTCCCGGCGGCCGAGCTGGGGCGCGTCAACGGTGACGAAGAGCGCTTTGCAGCCCCGTTGCTGGGCGTGTTGGACGATACGTTTGGTAATGTTGCGGTCTTTGTTGACGTATAGTTGTAGCCATTGGACCTGGTCGGGGCCGCGAGCGTCGACGATCTCGTCGAAGGAGCAGGAGGCCAGGGTGGGGATCATTTGAATGACGTTGTGGGTGTTTGAAGCGCGGGTGAGGCAGACCTCACCTTCTGGATGGCCGAGTTTGCCCAAGGCGGTGGCCGAGACGTAGAAGGGGACGGAGACGGGAGAGCCTAGCATTGTGGTGGAGATGTCCACATTTTCGACATCGACGAGGATGCGCGGACGGAACCAGACTTTGTGAAAGGCGGAGTGGTTTTCGCGGAGGGTCTATGATGGCCTTGCGTTAGCTATATATATATATATATATATATATAGTTAATACTGACTGGTATGTTGAAGGAGGAGACGAACTATTTCATCATCAGCGCCACTGGAGTAATAAGCCCAGGCTGTCTTCTTCATAACACGACGGGCGACGGCTTCAAAGTCCAGCAGGTTATAACATTGTTCTAGCGAAGGCATATGCTTGATTCGTAATTGGCGCTCTTCTTCCTCGGGATCGACACCTTTGTCCTCGCGCATGACAGTGTCCATTGCCACTGGACCTAGGTGTTTTGAAGGGTCGAGGTACTTGTCGAGGGTGTCCGGGGGGTGGATGGGCTCGAATTCCTCCGTGGCATCTTTCCCGGCATACTTCAGAATAGTGCTTTGACCGCCAGGGTGCTCTATATTGGTATTAGTAAAAATCCATGTGCAGGTGGCAGCTGGTTTAGCCGCAGGGGGGATTTGCTTTGTACCAGGTAGAAATTCGGTGACATCGTATGCTTTCCCGTGAACTATGACCCAACATGAGTCCTTGGAGTTGTGTTTTTGTATCTCTGGGCCTGTAAGGAGATTTCCCCCGTGTTTTTCGTCCGAGGGCATTGCAGCGGAAGCTATAGAGGGCGGCGCAAATGGGAGCTCTAGAAAGGGGCCGGTAGTTCAGTTCAAGAGGTCAGCGATTCAGGCTGGGAGACGGAGGAGGGTTAAATTAAAATGCCGAAAGATGATTGTTGAGCCAGCTCGTTGTTCTCGTGCGAGATATTATTATTTAAGTGGCGGCGGAAAGAAATGCGGACGGGGGAGAAGTTCTGGAGAAGTTTCTTCTGGTTTCGGAGATGCGGAGAGCGTGGATTGGATCGGATCATGACGATATCATCGATGTATGTATGTACATACATGTACTCCGTACTCTGTATAGAGAGTGATTGCAACCACGTAACAAAGTATTTCTACGTCTTCTTGTGTACTTATTATGATTATTACTTATGATAGTAGTAAGTTACTCTTCTCATGTTGATATAATAGTCTGTCTCATCTGTGCTGCATTGATTATTATTATTGTTATTATTATTGTTATTATTATTATTATTATTATTATTATTATTATTATTATTGGTTCCTTTCCTTTTCGCATCCCCTCTCCATCCTCATCTTCCCATTTCCGATATCTAGAATCGTCTCCACTGAGGCAAAAAACCTTGGAAGCTCCATGGCTGTTTCTCGGCCGATTCGATAATAATGATTCTAATCGAGTTGACAGCGTGAATAATTCACAGATGTGCATAACGAGGATTATCTACGTCTTTTCCGCGTCTCTATCTCTGGGACTTCATCTCTTTCATCGTCTCTTCTTCTGATGTTTGGGGCCTCGGCAGCCGCTGATTAGTTAAGTTAGTTAGTTACTAGGTAACGACGACGTCATTGGCCAGGGATCATATGACCCACCCAGCCCTTGCCCTTGTTTCTTGTTTGGGCTGGGTCGTAGTCAATCAACCTTCTCATCAATCACTCTATCACTAACTTTAGTTAACTAAGTTACTGCGTAGTTAATTAAGTTAACCTAGTTAACTGTTTATCCAACCATCCAGCTCGAACGGACGAACAGTGACATCCACAGGGCATCTGGATATACAGACACGCAGACAGCCCCTATGATATGTGCTTAGGGATGCCCGGATGGACTATAGTTACCCGGGTCAATGCTGGCTGATTCGCTCCGTAGCCCTTCTGTCTCTTCTTGTCTCCTCTTGTCTCTTTCTGTCTCTAACTTAACCCAACCAACCCTCTCTCCCTCTCTCCCTCTCTCCCTCTCTCCTCCCTCCTCACGTGCAGGCTATCCTCTCTCTGGTGACCAAGTCGCTGTCCTGTACGCAGAACAGTCACGCTCGCTGGCCTCAGCCGGGTTGCTTGTCGCTGTCTTTTAGCTCTCAACCCCTCTGCCTGCCTGGCTGTATCTCTCTCTCTCTCTCTCTCTCTCTTCTCTTATCCAAAAGTAGACGTTACTCACCAAATTATACACCGCTTTCTCTTCTTTGCTGGTGACTCGTCATTCTCTTCCCTCATCTTGACGCGCGCAGCTGCTTGCTTTCTTTGTCTTTGCTCCCAAGTAAACCCTCGTACAACCAAAAGAAAAATAAAAGAAAATAAAAATAAAAAAAATAGCTTCATAGCTTCCCATACCTCCCTCCCGGTATACCCTGCTATATGATGCACCTGTTCTCTTGCACTCCGCCCTCACTATGAGCTCCAGTCTCGAGGCGAAGATCGTCGTCCTGGGTGCCCAAGGTACGCTCTTTCATATTCAGCTCTCCATTCTCATTCCCCATCCATCCTCCCTTGTACTAACTCCGGCCTAGGTGTTGGGAAAACATCTCTCGTCCAACGCTACGTGAAAAATTCCTTCAACCCTGCTACAACCACTTCCACCGTCGGCGCCTCCTTCGTCACTAAACGCGTCCTCGACACCACCTCAGACACCGTCGTCCGCTTGCAAATATGGGACACAGCCGGGCAGGAACGTTTCCGAAGTATTTCCCGTCTCTATTACCGCGGTGCCAACGCTGGCCTGCTCTGCTACGACATCACAGACGAAAGTAGCTTCCAGGAAATGGCCGGTTGGCTCGTCGAGTTGAAACAGAACCTTGGCGAAGACTCTCCCATCGTCATCCACGTTGTGGGCACGAAATCAGATATTGTAGCAGATGACCCCAATCTACGCAAAGTTCCGTTCGAACGCACCATTGCCTACGTCGCGGAACAGCTCTACCCATCCCAAGCATCCACCCCGCCGCCCAGCTCCGGCCTAGGCATGATCAGCAGCTCCACCTTTGGCACCTCAAACCCAAACTACAATCCCGGCGCGGAAAGCAAGCGAAGCAGCGGCTTCTGGGGCCAGGATATCGGCTGGGACTGCTGCCATGAGATCAGCGCCAAGGATGGCGAGGGTATCGAGGAGGTCTTCCGTGTCATCACCCGCAAGCTCGTGGAGCAGCGGAACAAATCACTAGACGCCGACTCAGCACATCGGGGTGGATCAGGTGGCGCGGAGAGAATGCCCGCACACATGGAAGGAGCTGTGTCTGATGGCAACAATAGTGTGCGCGGTGGGACGGCAGATAAACGACGAAGCTGGCTTGGGTTCCCGCCCGGTCTCGTGCTGGGTGAGGAACCTATCGATGTACCGATTGGATCGACTCAGAGCCGGCAGGGGAGGTGCTGCTGATGAATTTTCCTTAACGGTTATATTTTCTTTTTTTCCCTTTGATACCATATTCCTCTTGCCATTATGCTCACGAGTCCCTCTTCCAATCCGTTAACCGACCGCTGTATTCTATTCCTTCTTCCGTGTCTCTGTCACTTTCTTTGCCCACTTATCGGTGCATTAATGTATAGAATTACGTCCTCCTCCTCCTCCCCCCACTTCTTCTCTTCCGCCCCCCCCTTCTTCCCTTCCGCCCCCTCTCTCCATATCGTTCTAACGCAGGCCCGTTAAAACGGGAAAATTGGAGGATTCCCACTCGCCTTCCAAAAACTCAACCGTGCATTTACACACGGAGTTTTCCGGATTTGCATCAACATTGTTTTCTTTCCCTCTTCGCCGTGTTTCAATCAGTTTCCATCGTGTTCCATTCAAAGGATGTGTTTCTATAAATCTGTTTTTGCTTCCTGTTTTCCGCTCATGTTTTATATATTTATCCTAAATTTCTGTGCTTGCGGGCGTTGTTGGCCGGTGTTGCTTAGCCTTTGTTCATGGGGTGGATGAAAGGTGTGCGTGTTGTATGAATCACTACGATCTCCTTGAGAGCGTATTTGTTAATACGGGCTTTAACTAATGGATGTGTTTTGTCGGGCTGGCTAGGGATTCGGTCATGGATCATGGGTCATGGGAGGGGCGTCCAGGTCGTCTCTCTCCCTGTCTCATTCGTCATCCTCTATATATTTGCGACCCCAGGCCGCTGATATACCAATTCTAAGTGTATTATCATATGCTGCTTGATATTTATCTTTGATCGTATATTTCGATTCGAATCTTTTCCTTTGGATTTAATTGGATGCTTACAATTGTCCCCAATGGAACACCACAGCTCTACCAAGCTGTTGGAAGAAACCTTGGGTGGACGTAGATCGATCAACAACACATAGCAACCTCATCCCACATTTAAGCCAGGACGTATGCATGCATGTACTGTACATGTGTACAAAACCACTGTCGTTGGTAACGTACGTACACATACGTTCCTTTGGTGCATCAATCGGCCTATTATCCCTTTCGTCCATAGATCGATCACCCACCTGAACCCATCCCCACCACACGCCACAAGGGAGTATAAGTATCAATATTCGCTGATATCCAGTTCTTCAGCCGTCGATGCCGATATGGATGAGGACACGATCTGATCCGATCATATTGACAACTTGCATAAACGCGCGGCATACAGAATCCTGCATTAGATCTCACTGCTCCCAACTGCAGATCATTGAGGGGAGGGTTGAGGATCCAACGAACAGTGCCCGTGGGTGTTGTCCGGTTCTTGAGTGACACAACAAACTGTGGGAAACCGTAGAAATAGTCATGTTGAGGCAATATCAAAATTGAAAGTTTGATTCAAACATTCTGTTCTGTAAATGGGGTCGGGCCGCTGCATATAAAACTACATGAGCTGTGGGTTGGTCTTATGTTTATTGTTTATTCTGATAGTCTGTAGTAGAATAGATAGTGCTGAAAATCTTCGATTAATTTGATAGTTACATCCATCTACATATCAGTAATGCCGTATTTTCTTTTCTATTGATAATCAGAGAGATTCATTAAACTGCAGAGTTCTGAGTATATTAATGTTCCTTTATATCAAATGGGTTAGATATTGATTTCTGGTGGTTTAGATATAGTATATAATAATAGACTCATCCCCCTTCTTCAAACTATCTTGAATATATGATATCATTCCATTCTAAGTAGAAGTAATCTATTTTTCATATTTTGTATATACTGGTAGTTAAGGGGCCGAACTATTCCATCTAAATACACCAACATGTCAAAACGAGAAGGAATTACGTTTTACTTTCTACATAGTTACTGGCTTTTTCATACTACGGAACTGGACAATAGATTATTTCTGTTACTCCAACATCGGTTTCATTTTGAAGTTAAAGTGAGAGTGGGTTGCACAGCTCGATTCTTTGTTTCAATTTGAGCCATGATATTTAAGGCCATGAATTGTGGCAGAGAGCAAGCAGCCGCCTCCAAACTCCTCTCTACATAGAGCTAGCTAGCTAGCTAGCTGCCTTGCTATACAGGGCCCGTGGAAGATGGAACAACGGATTCTTGCAATATCAAATGTGTTGGGAATCGACTGAATCGACTGTCAGTCTCAAAGAGTTCAAGGAATAAGCTGTACTCTGCAAATCAAGAATTTTATTACTCTAATTAGTGCATCGTGGGGGTATCAGCATATGGAAATATCGTTGAATGTTTGAACAGCACTCTTTGTGCAATGCCAATGAGAATCGATTGCGCACCAAGGTCTCCTTAAATATTTATTCCAGTGAGCGACATTGAACCTTGAACACTCTTCACGGACTCGCCCCTCAGCGACCAACTTTGAACAACATGACAACGCTGTCTTTGTTGAAGCTCTCACACCAGTTATTCGAGCCAAGGACTGGGCTCAGTTGACAATGAGCTCACCAAACCAACTAGTTAACTAGTTAGGCAATCCATAACTTATTTAACTAACGATTTAAGTAACTTATAAGTTTGCAGAATGGGGAACTTTGTCTTCTCTCTCAGCTCCCCTGGTTTTAAATCCAAGAGAGAGCACAAAAGTTAAGTTGTTGCCCATCACCTACGAGTTTTCGGCTTCTGAGTTCTTGAATTTAGTTGGATATTTCTTCCTGCATTCTTGTGCGTTTTAATCCGTTCCCGCAAGCATCTGCACTGCACTGCCTACCAGCAGCGAATTCGCTGAGCCTCGTGCTAGCGCTTGAGGATTTCATGTCTGCTCCTGGCCCTGATGACTGCTCTTTTCCGTTTCTCTCTGCATTGAGATAGACATTTTCATAAGACTCTATACTTCTCCTAGAAGAATATTGCAAGCGGCGCTCTTGAGAAAACACCCCGCTTCACCCGCTTCACCCGCTTCACCCTCTTACTCAACACGCCGTGACGCAGTTTGGCCACTTGAAGGCCGTCACGACCTCACAGGAGAAGCGCCGGTGCGACAAAGAATGTCGCGACCCGAGCGCACTCCGGTAGTGGACTGCATTTCTGCAGGTATGGAGTGCTTATCTTCATTCCCCATTATTTCTTTGTGCTACATACATACATACACCCTTCACGCCATAGCCCCCCGGCTGCACACCCGATCTTTAATCGCTGTTTGAGTTTCTCTTAGAGATAGATCGATTTACCCCATCTATTTTGGTGCTGACAAGCTTAACTAAGTCGTGACTACTTATCTGAATGCTACAAATTTGGTCGAGCGCATTAAGCGGACCAACAGCCGCCCTTTACCTGAAGATGCCCTGGCAAGCCTGGAAATCTCGCTTGCCCTTGGACCCCCCATAGTACAGGGCCAATATGACTTGGACGTCAAGCGCATTGGCCAAAAGTATGTGTACGGGGACGAAATTGCCCAGGAAGATATGAGATTTATTCTGTCGAGCCTACAGGCGACGCTCCTGGTCGGCCTACAGCGGGCATTGATGGACAATCTCGATCTAGACTATAGCAGTTTGCAGGCGTCTTCGGACAGCAGTCGTGTCGACTCGATAATCTGCTTGAGTCAGCTGGGTCAACGCCTGGCCCCTAGCGTTCCAGGATATAAAGCGTCGATCCTTTCACCCCCGGATCCTGGAACTGTGGAAATGCCTGCATATGGTGACTTGTCCGACCCGGAATCTTCATGTCTTTCGGTAGCCAAAAGCGTATCCTCCGGAGATACAAGGAGCCAGACTGAACTCTCCTTATCACTGACCGTGGACTCAGAGAATACGTCAGCCGCAGATGGTGTCGTCAGCCCAACCACTACGGAAAGGGGAACCGGCATTTTGGCTTGCCGACGTTCACTGCCCTACTTGCCAAAAGGGAGCATCGAGCTACCAACCACTGATAGCGAGCAGCTGCAAGGGAATCGGAATCGATACAGCGGGGGCTCTGTTTCCAACAATAGAAACAATGGGACTCAATACCCCATCCCGACAATAAGGGAAACTAGTGGTGAGCTTCTATATAGCCCGAGCTTAAGGGCTCCACAGCCACTGAGTTCCCGAGGTTTGCCTACCGACGCGAGGCCGCCAGGGTTCGAGCAGGAGCTTCAACATTCACAATACGGCTCTGAGCAAACCCAGCAGAGCAAAGACCCAAACAATACTCCCGGAATCATACAGCAAACCCAACCCACGACGCTACCATCCGCCGCGCTATCGAATATCTGGGGGTTCAAACACCGTCATTCAGCATCAACACCAGAAGATATGACTCTCACGCTTTCCATATCAAGCTCGAGAGCCAACTTCTTGCCGACGTTGAGACGACGACCGCCGTCGATGTCAGGGTCTTCCGGTACAAGCGCGTCCATCTCGGAAAACGACACAGGGACCCTGTACCTACCTAGCGAAGAGAACAAATACGCGGGGTTCTGTAAAGGTGCCTGGAAAATGCAAACCGGTACAAGAAAGGCCATGCGCGTCGCCCAACGGCCGGCAGGGATGTTCTCGCAAGTCCTCTTCTGGCGCTGTAAGGAGTGTAACTTTGAAGGCCCCATGAACCTCTCCTCCGAAAACCCCCCTTCCACAAGCATGCACACACCCAGTTTCTCGCGCACAACACCCCTGGACCAACCATCCCGCTCATTTGACCAGCGCGTCCAAGTGCACCAGGGAACAGGTATCCGCTACCGCTGGGCATTCCTTGCTAAATCTCACGCGTACTGCAAGAAAGTGCCACCGACCACTGACGGGTCAACATGTAGCTATGGATGCATCTACTGCTGTTCCGAGCAGCGGGGACCGGCGCCTATATTTGGGAATGTGGATACGTTCATGGAACACTTGCGCACCCACGACGGAGCAAATATTCGGGGACATAAGACAAGGCCGGAACAGGAGTTGCTGAATCGGACAAAATGCCTGATGGGGAGGCTGGCGCATGACCAGGAGGAGTTTGATATTAACATTCCCCCTGTTTTGGCAGAGGTTCAGGGTTGATTTTTTGGGGAATACCGGTTATCGCAGTCTGACGATGGTTATCTGCTTGGGGTGAATCCTCTCGGTTGGAGCATCTGGCCTCTCTTTGACAGGCCATGTTTATAAGTGCCCTAACTTCTCCTTTTTCTTTCTCTGCTTTTCATTATATTTTTATATTTTCCATCATCCACTGCACACTTAAACACTCCATGTAGCACATCGTATTTCTTGTTCTGCTTGTGAGGAATTTGGTGATTTATGTTTTTTAATTCATGTTACCATAGATGATTATTTTTTGTCGTTATTTCATGTATTGTACAGCTTTCTCGAAATCGAGCCTACGAATGAATTTTTTTCCCCTCTCCCCTTTCTCCACTCAGCATGATATGTCGTGTCAATTGGCAAAAATAATTAAATTCTGCCCCTGACTCCACAAAGGCTTAAGACTAACGGTGGCTGCCAAGAACAGCGCGAGCCAACGCTATCCAACTGGGCTTACTCAGCCGTAGGTTGTAACACAGCTGAATTCAGGTCTTCATCCGTTGTCTCTAAGGTTTCTAATAATTGAATATTATATAGAGCATAAAGCACAACACATCTCGCTCCGTCCGCTGATTGATAAACCCGCGGTTTACAGCGGCAATGTTCCAGGTAAGCCTCATATGACAATCCATAACCCCCAGAAAACCCCAGACAGATAGGCGCTCGGTTCTGACCACGTTCGACAAAATAGCGGATCAAGGGCGCCATAGATTCTCGCATAGCAGAGGAGCAAGCCCGCCAGAAAGCAGCGCAAGAGTCCAGTTCCATTTCCCGATCCAACTCGCACATACGCCAATCGCATACCCGTGCAGCGTCTCGCGCTACAAGGCTAAAGCGAGAGAACAGCGTTTCCACGAAAACACCGGATCCTGCTGAATTCGATGTGGATTTCGTTGTAGGAGACGATGATTCATCAACCAGAACCAGCACTCCTATTCAAATGCCCGAAGCTGGGAGAGACGGAAATGCTGGGACTGCAGCAGACCAGGAAGGGGGTCAGGGGAGGACGAAGGAAAGGGAAATAGACTCCACACGATCCCAGGACGCCACACCGGAGGAACCTGCACAGATGGAGCTTCCGACTGCAGTGAGGGTGAGATTACGGAGGCTCGACAAGATAGAAGGGAGATATCAAGGTCGGTGTAGATTGCTCCTGTTTATTCTGGCTTGGACTAAACTCATACGTTTATTGTTATTCATAGAATTATTGAAGGCCTACCGAATTGCGCAGGCCCGCGTAGTGTCTATCGAACCGTTCGAAGCATGCCTACGCGAGAATACTCCATTAACCTCCATAAGTGACCCCCGCGCTTTGACAGAGTACCTGAATCAGGTCAACCTGAAGGGTGATATGGTATTGGAGGAGCTAAAGAGGGTCACCACTGAGAGGGATGAGTATAAGAAAAAGTTCACTGAAGCTGAGAAATCAGCTCGTGATGCTCAGGAAGAGGTGGCTAACTTGAGGAAGCGGAGCTTTTCTTCCGATGGAAAAGGTTCTACGCACGGCGAAGGAGTAAACAGAAAGACTGCGCCCACGATCGAGACGCCATCTGCGTCCGCAGAAGGCAGTTCCTTGGAAAGTTCACAGAAATCCCCAACCCTTTCGATCGCATCTATTCCTGGAATATTGTTATTTTCGCCAAGAGCGAAGGCTGTCACATCACCTCCTCCCGTGGAAGAGAACGAAGAGTTCTTCTCCTTTGATAACGAGATACCCCGTTTAGAATCGGAACTGGAAAAGAGACAACAGGAGGTTGAGGTGCTGAAATCGGAGGTGAAAACACTTAAAGGGGATTTGTCCGTTGCGCGTGAATCGACGGAGGGCATGGCACAGAGTTTGGAATCGGCTACCCGGGAACTGACTACACTGAGAGAGGCAAAGGATCGATTCGAGTGGAACCTGGAGAGTCAGCGGAAAGTGTTGGAAGAGCAGATTTCTAATCTCAAGGTTAAACTTTCTGTGGCTGAGGCGGATGTGGAGAAATCAAGTGCTGCAATGGAAAATTTGAAGACCCAATTGGATGAAAAATCGAAGGAATTGAGCCAGGCAAGCGACGAGAAAGATGACCACAATACCAACGTAGCCGCGACAGAACAGCAAAATGCTTCTGGCGAAAAACGGCTGAGTATACTACACAGCCTCGTTGCAACCTTGAAAGCGCAGCTGAAAGATGCCGAGTTTACTATATCATCTTTGAAGGCCGAGGTTTCTTCTAAAGACGCTAAGGCGAAAGATACTCAAAGGATCATTGATTTCATCGACAACGGATTCAGGGATAACCAAACATGGCAGATTGCTAAGAAACGTATATCAGACGGACAAGCTGCCGATTTCGACGAACTCCGGAAGAGTCTAGTCACGATCAATGATCAAGCTAGTGTTGTTGCTCAAAATGCCCCTGCTGCAGGCAGTGGTAAAAAGAGGAGCAAGAAGAAGAAGAGGGGTGGAAAGGGCGGAGCAGATGAAGTCCCTGAATCTGCGGTCACTCCAACTACGGGATCATTCGTTTCCCCCGAAACTACAAATCTTGTTGCTGAACTTGAGAAGAGAATAGCACAGCTGACAACACAACTAGTAGAGAAGGAAACCGCCATAAGCCGATTAGATTCCAAGCTTAAGGGTGAAGACAATTTACGGGAAGAGATTGATTCTTTACGTGATGACCTACGTGACATTGGACAAAGCTGTGTCGAGGCAAAGGATAAGGTCAAGGAACTTCTGACAGAGAAGAGGGCTCTTGAGAAGACTATCCAGGAACTAGAAAAGGAGTTAATTGATCTACGATCAAGCGCAGCATCAAGCTCTTGTCAAGCTGAGGACGCGCACAAAGACCTAGCCGCCGAATTTGAAGAGCTGAAGATAAAAGCCACAGCACTGCAAACAGACCTTTCCGCTGCTCAACAACTCGCTGCATCGCGGTTTAAAGATTTAACTGACCTGAGAGAAACACTTCAGAAAGTTCAGCCGGAATTGAGGAATCTCCGCGCTGAATCAGCCGAACTTAAAACGTCAAAGGAGGAACTGAAGAACAAAACCAATGACCTGAAGCGCTTGGAGAGACGACACGAAGACGTTCGATCTGAAATGAAGAGTTTAAGAGGTAGGATTGGGGAACAAGAAGCAGAAATCAAAGCCCTGAATCAAAATGTCACGCAGGAAATGACCAGCCGCGTCAAGGCAGAGCAAGCGTTGGAAGTTGCGCAATCTGATCTGCGCTACTCTGAAAGTAAAAAGCAGGAGGCTCTAGAGACGAACGAGAAGACAACGAAAAGCCTCTCGAACACACAGGAAGAGCTAAGATTATCACAAACGAGATTGGCAGAGGTAGAGGAGCACGTGAAACAGCTGAATAGAGACATCGAAAGCTTACGAGATGAAATCCAATTGAAAACCGCGCAGCATGCCAGCGCGCAAAGCCTCATGAATAGCATGCGCGATCAAACATCTGAGATGGCATTGCAGGTTAAAGAAGCCCGCGAACGCTGTGACAGCCTCGAGGAGGAAGTTGCTGATGCTCACCGTCTGCTCTCAGAGCGCACCCGAGAGGGCGAAACAATGCGACGGCTGCTAGCAGACGTCGAGATGAAGACAGATGCCAAGGTCCGCGAATTCAAAGATCGACTAGAAGCCGCCATTGAAGAGCGTGATCGGGCGGAAGATGAGGCTAGCCTTGTCGGACGCAAACGAGCGAGAGAGGTCGAAGAGCTGAAGACGAAGGCACGCGATATGGAGCGCACTTTACGGCGAGCGGAACTGGACAAAGAAGAACTAGAACATGAGCAGAGGGATTGGAAACGGCGACGGGAGGAACTAGAAGCCGAAACAGAGCGATCGAAACAGGATCTTGCCGACATGCAGGCGGCGATGACGCAGCTACGTGACGTCCTCGACGAGAGCGAGAGGCAGATACGGGAATTGGAGAAGGAGAAGACCGAACTTCGCCGCTCCGTCGAGGAAACGAACCAACGCCTAGAAAAACTACGTAAGTCCAACAAGGCGCTCACAGAGGATGTAAAAGCGTTTCAAGCTAGCAAGCGGCGTGCATTCGATTCGAATAATACTAGTTCTGGTCGATCGCCGCGGCCGTCGCTGGATTCTGGGATGCAGCAACCCCGCGGTGGCAAGGGCGTTTCGCCGCATCCTCAGGATAGGAGTCCGACCCCCAAGGGTCCCGGCGTGGGTGGAGTTGACTATGTGTATTTGAAGAATGTATTGCTACAGTTTCTGGAGCAGAAGGATAAAAATTATCAGAAGCAGCTCATTCCAGTATTGGGGATGTTGCTGCATTTCGATACGTATGTCTTTTTCACTACCCTATATCTTCTCTGATGTATTTGTGCAGGACGGTTACTAACGATTATATCTTCGGCTGTATATAGGAGTGATGAACAGAAATGGATGTCAGCCATCTCATCTAGATAATGTCGCAAGCCCATTACCTGACCTGCGCAAATGCTATCACTTCGTTGAAAATGACATATACCAAACGCGACAGCTCTAGGCGGCCAAAGCTGTGGAGCAGAGCAAAGATCGTTGACGCCCTTTCCTCATTTACCTCTTAAGTGTGCTTGAAACATGATTGAGACTAGTGCAATGTAATATAACATGCTCGTGACGTACATTTCTGCGGAGAGAGTACTGGCGCAAGTGTCCGGAAGCATGCTCATGTTTTCCAGACAAGAGATATTCCTGGGCGCATATATATATATATATATATATATATATAAGATGCAGCGCCAATCAACCAATGACCTCAATTCCGTATCTTCCCCATATGTCATATTTTAGCTGGAGGTTATCTTCGCAACCTGACGACACTGCAATGCGTTCTAGCGAAATCGAAGCTCTATGTCCACTCTGCTACTTTAACAGACCTCTTAACTCCGCAGGCTAGACTCAATTATTGACACTTTGGGTATCGATCATTTGGACGGGGAACAAGTAGACTCGTGGCATGCCCCCGGACTTCGTTACGTTCAATTCACTTTTGTTGCCCCCGGCTTCTTGTATTCCCTGTCTCACTTGTAAGTCGTAACACCGCCGGTATGCCATCGTGGATGTTTTCATAGCCGATAATTGTCATCCCGGAGGGTAAACAGGAGGCCCTCGTGCGAAGCTTTTAGGAGTAAATATGATACAAATCAAGAATGATTACACACACATTTGATATAACGAATCCTTGCACCCGTTTAAGAAGAGCCTTTAAACTTCCTGTGTGCCGTGACATCTAGTGACAGCCCGTTCTTGTTAATCAACTTCACTCTGTGCAAGAGTTGCCAGGTGGATTCAAGCCAAGTGCTCTAAGCTCATCACCATCCACAAGAGCTAAGAAGTACTCTCTCTTAAAGCGGAATCAGTGTAGGGACTCCTTAAGATTGTTTTGAAAACTCTGGATTAGTGTATTCTTTAATGCGCGAGACAAACCTGTTGAAAGCCCTCCCTGCACAGGTGAGGATAAACAACCTGTGCACGCATACATGATAAATCCCCTCCGTACCAGCTCGTCAAGCCACCAAAAAAGAAAAAAATTTGGGTTAATTTATTAGGAGCTGGACGCTTGATGCTAGTAGTAAGTATCAGGCGCTTTTCTCATTTCTAAGAGAAATCCATTTGGCGTTGACTCGACCCAAATCTAGGAGGCCGCGAACCACGGTCCTCGACCTGTGCTGAAGGTTGGGATACAGTCTTAGAGAGACTTCAAACAAGCTTGCTCAATTTAGCATGTACTGGCCTCTCATGACCGGCCATCTATAAACTAGAGGAAACACTGCGCTGTTTGCGTGGTTCTGTATTCGGAAGAATGATAATATCACATTTGTAAATTATGCACGCAACGATTACAACTAATATTATCATCGCATTCATTATCGGTTTCTGCGCAAGAAAAGTAAAATTAATTACTATATAACCATAGAAATGTAGTAAACCGTGGTTAGTGATTTAAAAATTAAGTTACTCGTCATCTTCCGCCAACAAGACTTTCAAGTGAAATTATCCGTGTTTTGATTTGCTCCGAGAAAGGATGCTCCTGAGTCAACCACGATTTGGTGTTTGCATATGCGATTCGATATGTATCTAAAGCGCGTTTGGGTTTTTGTTGTAGTATAATCCTAGTGTTACCACGGGGTGTGTCAAGAGTGAGTTTCTCAGCCTCATCTAGGCGCCCTTGCCGTGCGTATATCCGTTCAAGCTCCCCACATCCATCCCATTAAGCACCAGGTGCTCATCACCAAGGCTACGTTTGCCTGCTGCAATCCCACCCACAAGCATATCCTCCGTTTCACCGAGGTTCTTTGAAAGGTAGCAGAGCGCCCACAAGGTGTACGGATGTTCCTTACCCTGCTTTTCCTTAACGCATTTCGTACACTAGATGCATCATGAGTCGTGCCTGTTCTCTCTGCCCAAGATCTAACAGGGCCATCGCCAAATTGCTCATGGTCGTTAGAGTCTACGAGTTGGCCTCGCCTGAAATGATCTTTCGCGCGTTCAAAACGCGCTCATGCAATGCTTTGCTCTCCTCATACTTCTGCCATGAACCCAAGGTTACTCCAAGGTGATCCAGGGCGGCCAATGTATCGGGGTCTTCAGGACCCAATGCCTCCCCTGAAGCTCTTGCAGTCCCTTCCAGCACGCGAAGAGACTCAGCATATCGGCCATTTAACCAGGATGAATGAGCCAATTTCGCCATAGCCTGAACAGTCTCACGGTGAGCAGGGCCAAAGCGCTTGTTCCGAGCTTCAGCAACTTGGCTCTGCACTGTGATGCAATTTTTCAATTGCCCTAAACCCCAAAGGACATCAATGAGAAACAACATTGCCTTTTGTGTTGTTGTGTGGTTGTATCTTAGGGTCTGCACTGTTAGGTCTTGAACTATTGAGAGGAAGTGGGCTGATTGTTCAAAGTGACTGGATTGAGCATAAAGATATTTAACTACATGGGTGAGACTTGGCATTGATGTTTTAGAACATCAAAAACAGACAGGGTTTTCACAGAGATTGCTCTTCAAATATCTCCACAGTTACAGGTCGGGGATCTTCCAAAATCAAGAAGATTGGTGCATAGGGCTAGGTCTCTTCACCTTACAATTTGTATGGCAATTTGACCCGGGGTTGTGGTGTGGTAGGGGTGGACAGGGGAAAATCCCACGCGGGGGGCTTCCAACCACATTTGGTTGAATAACTCCACCACTAGACGGGGTATGCAGTCGGCGTTGGGGTCAAAATGCTCGTATGATTGAGGGCTGTTCGATGGATCTATCGGCGGTTTCTTATTCGAAAAATTGAGCGAGTTCGTGGTGGAGCGGTTGTGTGGATAAATGTATAATAATTAGCTGTATAGATACTAGAAAAACCCAGAGAATTGAAAGTTCTCAGGTAACTAGATGTCATAGTCCTTGACTGCATACATCTATAATTGAAGAAGAAGAAGAATAATAATAATGAACAGTAAATAATTCGCACAAAATTACTCCAAGCACATGGATCTTTCTCTGTAAGTTAAATCTATCAATCCGGCCCAAATGTCGTACGAAGAAGGTGTATCAAAGTATCAAAATGATACATAAGCAAGGAAACCAAAATGACCGCCCTGCTGTACAGGAACCAGAAAACTGTTGGCCCTTACGGCCGTTGCGGTTAGCGATCCCACTAGATCACGTGACCCACCACTATATTATGTTCCTGTAGATAGATCTATCAATACAACCTTTAACTATTCTACAGGTTATAGCCCGGATGGCACATTTTTCTTTTTAAAACATTGTACCAACATTTTTGACACAGATAGTTCATCTTTTTTGAAAAGACTCTTACTCATTATTAGAGATATTTCATTTTCCCTGAATCTGTCAGTCAGCAGATTCATATACTTTATTTTTTTTAAGAAAGTGTGTTCTTCATTGTGAAGAATATCACTTTTTATCTCTTTTTTTTTTTTTACACACCTAGGAGAAGCAGAGTCATCTTGATATGAGTGATACACCTGTTACTTCAGAGTTCAGCTCAAGGCTCAGAATCACACACTTCACTAGACAACTCATTGATAGAATGATCACTTATTATGAGAAGGCTTCTGACTTGCAAGATGAAACTGAGATCAGTTTTCATCAGAGTATGAAATTTAATGATGAGACAATGAAGAAACTTCAGAACAAAGAAAAGCAGAGTTAATATTCATCTATAGAATCTGTTCATTTTAACTCTTCAAATTCTTCACTGTCTCTTATTCTTAGAATGCTGACTTTTAATGATGATCTGAATCAATCTATCTATTGTATCACAGACAATCTTATGAATCTTATACAGATGATACTATAGAACTAGATAACTATGACTGAAATAACTCAATATCTCACTACATCTGTATAAAGAGACACTATAAGAGATGAGTTGTGAAAATATCAGAAGAAAGTTAAATATGCACTAGATATAAAATCAGTGATCACATTTAATAACTCTAATTATAAAGCCTAGCATGTTGATATATTGACTGATATGAAAGTTATTGATAAAACTGACATTCTATTGAGAACTCAATGAGAATTCTCTTTTATATATTATATCAACTCTGAGAAGTGAAGAATCTGTTTCAAGTCTCTATATAGATGTATACTATCAAGTCTTATTAAAAATATTTGAATTACTATTAAAATCTTGAAAGCTGACAATGCTGTGACTCTGTGAGATAAGATTAATATTGAATATATAATATCACTGACAGAAGAATGAGTTAATATCTTCAAGAAATTAATAAAATTATAAGTTAAGAAGAATGATTATCTTACTTTTCAGAGATGTTTTCACTATCTTATTATCTGTTATAAAGAGCTCTGTCAGAGCACTGAGAATGTATATCATGATCTTTTTCTCAACAATCTACAAGATTATCAAAGATCATTTATTAAGACATGTTTGAATGAGTTTTTCTTCACTGATCAGAGACTCATTGTCAATATTGATATTGATAATTTGATAAAGCAACTGATTAATTATACATTTAAGAAGATTATCACTAAGCAGAAAAAGCAGTCTCAGATCAATTCTGTGACTGTAAAGAAGAATAAGAATAAAGATAAGAATAAAGATAAGAATAAAAACACATCTGTATAAAAGTGCACTCACTGTAAAAGATATGAACATACTATTAACAGATGTTTCATCTTACACCCTGATAAAAAGAAAAAGAAGAATAATAAGAAGAATGATAAGAAGAAAGAGAAGAAGAATAACTTAATAAGTTCTCAATCAGCAGTAAATGCAGCAATTATGAAGATTGAGTTCTATTTCTCTTTCACAGTCACCAGAAAATCATTCTTCAGATCTTGATATTTGAACACATGTGTAAGCCTGAATATGATAGATGAGCTTCATTCTTTTTCAGATATCAAATCTTTTAATGATAATATCTCTGTTGATTCAGTGACTGAGAGAACTGAGTTTGTCAAGAAGATTGAGACTGTCACCTTGAAAATTAAGAGTGATAATGTTAACTTACAGAATATTTACTATATTTCTAATATTACAGTTAATCTGCTCTCATTTGCAAAGCTTGAAGATCAGGAATTTCAATTTACATTGTTTTTCACTATTTTCTCATTTTTCATTTGCAGAGCTCTGAATGATGTTATTTTTCATACAGTTCAGACTGCTCAGAATAATATATATAAGATTGATGAATGAAAGTTCAGTGAGAATCTCAATTATCTGAACAAGGCAGTCAAGTATATTACAATGCTATATAAGTATGATTTTGACTGAAAAGTTGATCTTTCTGTAGCTGCTGCTACTACTGTTAATAACATTGATTCTGCAGATATGAGAACACAGAATACAAGAATATCAAAGACTCTTTTAAACTGACACTGTGATCTCAGTCACATTCACACTGATGCTATAATTGCTATGATCAAGGATTCTCATACTGAAGTCATAATTAAGAATTCTAAGACTAAGTTCTTTTACAAGAAATGTGTCAAGACAGGTATAATACAAGATTATTTGAAAACACTAATATCTAGATTTATTCAACTCATTGAGAAGGTTTATATTGATCTTGTAGATAATGAATGTACATTGAAAGATCTCTCTGATCACTTCTTAGAGTTCTGTCAGAGAATTAAATACTGAATGCTCATTATCTGTGATGCAACCTGCTATCATTGAGTATATTTTTTAAAGTTCAAGAATGAGGCTGTTCAATACTTTGAGTTATGACTCAGATTCATGAATAATCTCAGATATATAGTCTCTGCTTTTCTACAGACTGATATTGATGATGTTTTCCAATTCACATGTATACACACAGTTATGAATTCATATAATATCAAATGAAAATCAATGACATTATATTCATCATATCAGAATGGCATTTCTGAACATAAGATCTGTACTATTATGAAATGAGTTAGAGCTGCTCTTTTGAAAGATAATCTTTCTAAGAAGTTCTGAGCAGATGTTCTAGAGACAGTGATTGTAATAATCAATAATACTCTCACATCTACAGTTCTTTATAACTCAAAATTTTGACTCTCTACTGCAGAGATCTCTGTGATTCTAAGTTCACATAAGATTTCTTGATGTGCACTTATGAATACCCTGCTGAATGTGAGACATTTTCATCAATTGAGTGCAGAGATTTTTATTCACTTGCATGAATCTCAGCAGCCTGTGAATAAGCTTTCTTCACATGTCAATTCCTATTGTATTATTGAATTCAGTGACACATTGATATATTGTCTATAACATCTCAAATCTGACAAGATTATTGTCAGTAGTGATGTGAGATTTCTGATCACTGGAAAACCAGTTGTTACATCTGTGAAACTTATTAATCATATTGTTGAACTGAAGCCTGATATTCATCTGATTGATGATGAAGATGCCTCTGACATTGATGATCCGAATTCTACATAGTTGCAGCCCGCGAAATCGCTGGCTACTTACACTTCAAGCCTCATTACAGACAACCTCTCAAAGTTCTACAAGAATGCCACATCTCAGTCAGGGAGAGTAGGAGATTATTGAAAGAAGTTCATGCAATGCAAGATTATCAATCTGAAGAGACACAATACATGAAGTTTGATCTCTAGATCTGATGTTCTGAGAGATGAATCAATTGCTTCAGATCATTGAGTGTTTCTTGAGAAAGATAGACCTGTGAACCTGAATGTCAATTCTGATGATATTCTTAGAAAATTGCATTGAGTGATTTGTGATAACTGACTTAAGAAGAATTCTAGAGAAGAGATCTATACTTCTGTTATCACTGATACTGTCAATTATATTCTTTTTATAATAGCAGTACTATGCAGTTGAATATTTCATCAGATGAATATAGTGATGATATATCTTCATAAGCATCTCACTAGAAAGATCTATATAAGATAACTCACTGAATTTGAGACAGATTCACTGAAAACACTTATCTGCACAGTTGAGAGTAGTCTATACAGCCTGAACTCTGTGATGAAGATCTAGTATAATTACTTAACAGCTCTGTTAAGTGATCTCAGATTTACAGTCAGCACTCATGATCTGACACTCTGATATCATACATTCAGATGTTACCTCTATATAATAATCTATATTGACAATCTCAACATCATATCTGAAGCTTCTGAGAATACTGATTAGCTAGTGAGTATACTCAGTGAGAAATTGAAAGTCAAGAATCTATGCCAGTTAATCAAGTATTTGAGTATGAAGATCAATTGTTCAGATAAGAGAATTAATTTAATACATTGTCAATATATTAAATATCTTGTTAAAGATTTCTATCTTGATGATGCAGCTGTCATTAGAACATTAATAAAGAATG